GCCCCGCCCTTCTTGGCGGGAGCAGGCGGGAGCCCCGCCCTGCCCGTGACGCAGCGCGGGAAAGGGGCCGTGCGCGCGAAAAATGGCGGCGGTCGAGCCTGGCCCCGCTCCCGCCGGCTGCGGCCACTACGAGCTGCCCTGGTGAGCGCGGGGCTGGCGCTGTGGGGCGGGTTGGGGGGCCGGGGCCCGCCCTGACCCGGCCGCGCTGTGTCCGCAGGGTGGAGAAGTACCGGCCGCAGGCGCTGGCGGAGATCGTGGGCAACGAGGACACCGTGAGCCGCCTGCAGGTGCGGGGGGGCCGGCAGCCATGGGGACAAGTTACTGCCGGTCCACTTTGTGCGGTCGCTTGATCCACCTTGGTGCTGGGAGTCGGGGGAAGGGTGTAGCTGGGTCACAATTTAAGGTGGGATCAACTGCTAAAGGGACCTTCCTGTAAAACAGCCCCGCACCCCTGCGGTTTAAAGCAAACCACCTAGACACACGAATCGCCCTTACCTGGCGGCTCAGCCAAGCGCCCAACGAATGCGCGGGTGACCGACGGGGACCTTTCAGCAAGCGTCGTTCGGCTCATCCCGAGTTTGAGCAATGACCCTGTGTCCAGCGTAAAGGAGGAAACCCACGAGCGCAGCTGGAGCCCAGGGTGACGGGGTTTGGGCAGGATCTACACGTTACATACACTACACGGTTAGCTGGTTAATCGCACAATAAGGTTAGACCGGCCATGTGCAGACACAGTCAAAATGGTAGTTCAGCTGTAAAAAGACCAACCAGCTATAAAGTTAGTGCTTGCAAACGGTAACCACTTTATATCTGGTTTCTATCCAGGTTTAATTTGAACCTGTAGCAGAGCCCCTAGTTGTGGATTTGCTAGGGACTGACTATCAGCATCTCTTTAAAGATGAATGCAAGGGTACTAACAACCTCAGACCAAGAGAAGCATTTGAGTACTCCAGGATATGGCATACAAAGGATCAAAGGAAGAAAGAAGGGAAAAAATGAGAGAGAAACAGGGAAGTGATGTAGCAACTGAGTTCTTTGTTCTTGTCCTGAAAAACAGCAGAACATCGAAACTACTGATTTCAAAGGGTTTTTTTTCCTTGCAAGTAACCAATTCTGTCCTCTCCCTAGGTCTTTGCAAGGGAGGGAAATGTACCCAATATAATAATTGCCGTAAGTATTTGTTTTTTGCCTGGTACCCTGTTCCTTCTTGCTATGCTTTCTGGTCAAACGTTGTCTTTTACTAAATGTACAGATACACTGAAGATGTTAACAAGTGAGCTTAGTCTATAGCCAAGGATGAAGTTTGTGTTTAATCCGTTCTTCTGTCAGCAGTGTCCGTAGCTAGCTTCTGGCTTCAAGGAAGAAACCAGCCCTGCTGGGCATTATTCTGGCACCCAGCTGCCGGATGCCTGTTACTCACTGCTGTTGATAGAGACAGGATCCCGGAGTAGGTGACCTCCCAGTCTGGTTTTTCCCTTTAACAGGAACAGGATCACAAGAATTGCCAATGGAAACCATCCAACCATTTCCAGGCATCACCTTTATCAGCCATTGCTTTTCATAGGGTCCTCCAGGAACGGGCAAGACCACCAGTATCCTCTGTTTGGCTCGTGCACTTCTCGGTCCTGCATTAAAAGACGCTGTTCTGGAACTGAATGCCTCAAATGATAGGTGAGTGAAACCAGAGTCCTGATCAAGGCATGTAAACCTTGGAAAGCGATGGGCTCTAAGACATACCTTTATCCTAAGTCATTGCTTTAACTCCTGACTGCTCCCCATTCAGCATAGTGGCTGTATGGGACCCCGTCTTGAGGCATGAAGGTGTCTTTAACGTAGGGGTCGGTATTTTACTTTGGAAATCAGATGCTTAAAAGTGAGACATTGCAGCACTGAGCTTCCTCAGATGCACAAGTGCTTTAAGATGATTGATGGAGAGTGCTGTGAGTGTATAGGATGTCTTGGATAGGGATGATCCTGCCTCGGGCAGGGAGGGAGTTGGACTAGATGGTCTCTGGAGGTCCCTTTCAGCCGTGCTTCTCTGTGATTCTGTGTAGCATATTGTGTGTGCTGCCTTTTATTAATGTTCATTATTGAGCAGCTGCCAAACCATAAATCTTGTCTCTAAACTGAGCACTGGAAGATAATATAATTTTGTTTCCAAGAAAAATCACTCTATTTTTCTGTCCAACAAAGCGTCTGTTTAGTGACAGCGAAAAGGAGTCTGTCGTGTTGGTTTCCTTAAATGGTGTAGGAAGCCAGAAGCAAGTCTGGGTGAACATTTAACTGCTTTAATTATTGCTTCAGGGGCATCGATGTTGTAAGGAACAAAATTAAGATGTTTGCTCAGCAGAAGGTCACGCTTCCAAAAGGTCGGCATAAGATAATCATTCTGGATGAAGCCGACAGGTACGGTGTTTTTCTCCTGATTTCAGCTCCTCAGAAGTGTTCTACAGAATTTCGACTTGCATTAAAATGCAGAGCTCCTATTGCAAGCATCCTTATATTTTTATGATATTTTTATTGGCCTCTCAAAAATTATTTGTTGTGAATAATGGTCTGTTTAGCAGTTGCCTGAAAGGACTCATCTCTCAGGGCCATCTTATTGCAGAGGAGATGGTGACTATCTGAATGGAGCACTTAAAGATTCAGTGGGATGTGAAATAGCATCCAATTTACGGGCTATTTCGAAGCTCTCATCTGGAAAGAGGGGGGGGTCGTTGCAGCTCTGGACCATTTTGTTAGCAACAAAGGATGAAGCTGGCTGCCAGGGAGACTCGTACCTATGCGTTTATGGCCAAAAATGATTGTTCTTCTAAACATGAATTGGGTTTCTTTAAGCTGTGCTTCAATTGTATGTATTCTGCTTGTAATGCAGGGTGACTTGGTCACGTCTGATTGTCTAGATAAAACTACATCAGTTTATGTGTTGTCCAACCACAAGACCAAATCATTTGCAAGGTGTGAGCTAACAAACAAACTCTGAAGGCTGTATAAGCAATTTGATTGCAACTGGAAGTCAGTGAAGGGTAAAATAGACCCCCAACTGCCTCTTTTTTTTTTTTTTATTTCCTCAGCATGACAGATGGAGCCCAGCAAGCCTTGAGAAGAACAATGGAAATTTATTCTAAAACCACTCGCTTTGCACTGGCATGCAATGCCTCTGATAAGATCATAGGTAAAAAAGCTGCTTGTCTTTAGACGGTCCTCTTTTTAAGCTACTTCCATGCTGACCGTTAACTTCCTTCTATGTAGCATGTGATGATAGGGCTTGGAGATTAAAGTTTTCCACAATTTAAATCACCAAGTTCTCTGCAGTAGAGTATAACCATGAAACTCCAACCTCTCTCTTGGTTGGTTTAGTCAAGAAGTACGGAGATCACTTAAAAAAAAAAAAAAAAAAAAGGAAGAAAGGTCAGGCTTTCCAACAAGCAGCTGGTATGTAGCATGTCTGAAAGACAAGGCACCACATTAACAAAAGCTGTGAGCGCACTCTGGTTAGGGTATAATCTCTGCCCTGATTTTATTTCTGACAGACTGCCCTAAATATTTAAAAGTATTTAGTCATCTGACATTCCTAAACCAATGATGGTTGATGACAGGGAGGATACGAGGGGATGGATCACTCGAGACATGCCCCATTCAAATAGTTTCCCTCCAACACATCTATTACTTCCCGCAGCCAGAAACAGGCTGCTCAGGTACATAGACCATGGGTCTGACTCAGTTTGTACTTGTTATGTTCTTAACCTTCTTAGCAAAGCAGAATTACATTATGTCAACAGTTGGATGGATATTCATGTCAAATATTCCCTTTTTTTTCTTGGTTTGTTTTGTTTCTTATTCTCATTGTCCTATTTCCTGTGACACCAAGGTTCTCGGAGTTACAAGTTTAGTTACATTTGTCTTGTGGGCAATATAGGATACTATTAAACTTCTGCCGGGGCAATTAAATAATAGGACAAACAAAAATGAGGGTCTGTCACATTTTGGATACTCGCGAACATTTCAGATGACCAGCAGAACAAAATTCAATTTTTAGATTAGTTTGTCACAAGCCAGATGTATCACAACTAATGTTTTTAGAAGAAGCCATAGTAGACACCATTCCCTGCCAGCTTTCTTGGGGCTGAGCTACATCAGGGAAATTTTCCTGCTAGGAGAAGTGGAGCGAGGGGTTGGGCAGAAACTTCCCAGCTACCTTTCCCCTAAATATGTGACTCTCTCCCCTCAGAGCCGATCCAGTCTCGCTGTGCAGTGCTGCGCTACACCAAGCTGACGGATGCACAGATCCTTGCCAGGCTAATGAAAATTGTAGAGAAAGAGAATGTGCCATATGCAGATGATGGACTGGAAGCCATTATATTCACAGCACAAGGAGATATGAGACAGGTAGAGAAACACCTCAGTTAGAAATAGGCCTCCTTGCTGAAACTATGAAACTTTGAATTTGGCCTTGTATGCTTTAGGTTCCAGTCAATAAAGAATTGAGGTCATCTTCAGTACTCAGGTCACTAACCTGCATGGTTAGATCCACTAGAGAACTGAGCTAATCTCCTTGACAAATCACTTGTGGAAACTGGAGGATGACCTGTAGAGGAAGCAGTTTGTCTAAATCATGATGTTTACCCATAACAGTGACAGCTGTCCCCAAAAATAAATTGGTATTTGACTCTGAGGAGGGGGAAGGCTAGGGGTGGAACACCTCAAAGTAATGGAAATGTTCTTCTTACTAATTGCAGGCCTTAAACAACTTGCAGTCCACCTATTCTGGATTTGGCTTTATTAACAGCGAGAATGTTTTTAAGGTTAGTAGTTACATGTGATTGCTCCCCATTGCTGTGCAAATGGGACTATGCTGCAAGGAAATGCACTATATCTGATATCAACCCATCCTACCAACATAGAACACGGCAGTAGAAATCTGCTATGACACATTAGACACTCTCAAATTTTGAGATTCCTTTGTCAGTTTTTAGGTAGTTTTGCATATCTAACATTAACTACATTCAATAAAATAAATGCGTGCACTTTTTGAGAAGTTGGCTAGAGTACAAAGTTTCCCCACTAATGCTGTAAAAAGAATATGGTACTTCAGAATGTTTGCTGAATTTTGAGATCTTTGGCTTTATAACAGAAATCAAGTCTCAAGTATACTGTTACCAGGACACTTGCAGTGTTCATTAGTGATATGTTGGTTCTTTTCAGGCCAAGATATTAAGTCTGATAGTGTTAGGTAAGTCACATTATCAGAAATATCAATCAGTTAAAAGTAGTAGTGAGATTAGGTGGTGCCCTCAGATAAGATACTTGAGTTGAATAAAAGGCTTTTTAAAATTATTCTGGGTTTTTCTGAGCAGGAAGGGAAAGCGTGCACTGGAGTCTCTTGAACTCCTGATTCCTCTTTTGGTACAGGTGTGTGATGAGCCACACCCTCTGCTGGTGAAAGAAATGATACAGCACTGTGTGAATGCAAACATTGATGAAGCATACAAGGTTTGGATGTCTGTTCTCAGTCATTTTCTCTACAGCATGTTTGGTTGGTTGGTTTTTTGTTTGTGCAAAACTTCCACTTTGCTTTGCTGCTCATCCAAGACAAAGGTAAAAAGCCTCATACTGAAATGTTTTCATGCAAGTAAGCTTAATACGTAGGGATGCACGTACTGTCCAGACTTCTCTGTTGAAATGCATCCCCGTTACCAGCTGGATCTAAGGGTATTTATACACATACCTTTTTTGTCCCGCGATGCACGAGATATGCAGCAGGTTGGAGCAGACTCGATTAATAGAGTCTGTTCCACACGTGAGCTGATGCACACTGCGCTATGTCACTTATGCACTTGTATAAGCAGCAAAACGCGTGTCAGTGTGGAAAGTGGCAGTGATGTGCTTTTGAACCAAAACTCCTCCGATGTGTCTTAGTTCAAAAGTGCACCACTGCCATTTTCTCAGTGCTAATACACATTTTTGCCACTCATACAACTGCGTGTGCCAAAGCGCCCAGTGTTGCAGTGCAAGCATGTGTACAAATGCCCTAAATGTTAAACTGAATACAAAGCCACAAATTGAGGCCCACATAGTTGTAACACCACTTAAATCTACTGACACTTTGAAAATGTGCCACAAGGCAGTTATTAGCATACTGCCTTCATAGTATGGCTGGTCTAAATGCCAGGTCTGTGTGTAACTAGTCAGGGGCACAGCCCAGCACTACCCCCCCCACATTATTTTAACAACCCTCTGAAGTGTGCCTGTGAACAGGAAGGCTTTCAGCATAGACTGCTTACCACAAGATGGCAGGTATAGCAACTCTGGGTAACAGGAGCGAAACATTTGCTCCCCCATCTCTGAACATTAAGCTTGTTTCTTGTTTGTCTTAATGGTCTGGGTGAAAGTAGCTCAATACAGAAATGAAATTTGCTTTTAGCTGGTAATTGGGAATATTGATACTGACTGCAAAAGAGCAGTCTGCCTGCCTTTGATCAGTGTAATGTTTAAAGTGGGGGGGAAGGTGCTGGAATGAGCAAAACTAATGATTATCATCATTTTGGAATCTGTTTGTTAGAACAGGGCCATGATTCAATCACTTGCTAAAACATTGGGGATGCCTATGCACATGCTATGGGGTGGGTGGGGAAGGAAAGGGTGCTTTTTAATTAGAATGGCTCCTGGACAGCATCTCTAATTAAAATGCCAAAGCGTCATATGTATTCAGAGTCCCGCATTGCAAAATAACGGCAGGGCACTAACTAAAACTCATTTGACAAGTTTTAGTTAAAGTGCTCCCTGCTGCCATTTTGAAACATGGGACAGGATGCTGAATATACATGACACTGCGGCACGCTGACGCTCCAGCAGACGTGATGAATCAAGTCTGCTCCAGCACGTTCTAATTACAATGCATCGGAGCACGTGTATAGGCATCCTAGGTGCAGTCTCACCAGGTGAGAAACTTGAATGTGAATACCAGTTCCTGTGTGACCTTATGGAGAGTAAATCAGACTTCTTCTTCTCCCCACCCCACCCCCCAGATTCTTGCCCATTTGTGGAGGCTTGGATACTCGCCAGAGGATATCATTGGCAACATCTTTAGAGTGTGCAAAACCTTCCAAATGGCTGAGTATCTGAAACTGGAGTTCATCAAGGTGAGTGCTAAACCAGGTATCGCATCAAATCATGGGAATATTTTTAACAGAAAAGGATGCGATTCCCAGTGAAGGGGCAGCCCCCCCAGTCTGTTCTGAGACTTGCTGGCTGGATCCGAGTGCAAAGGCTTGCTGTTAGCTTCTTTTCACCTACCATATACTTCTGTGCCAGATGCCTGCTAGTCTGTTTTAAGAATGGTGACTTGAAAGTTAAATAAACACACACCAAATTCCAGCAGCTCAGGGGGTCCTAGAAATTTATTCCACTAAGTTACCAGTATAATAATTTCAGTGAACCACTGAATCAAAGATTCACCCCCTTCAGCTCCCAACAGCCATTTCAACCCCTTGTCCTAGAATACGCCGTGTTTCCCCTCTCACAAAAGGGAGTTCAAGTGGCTTTTGCAGTAAGCCCAGAGAGACATGTTCAGGCCACAGTTACCAAGAATTATATGGCATTGAGATCCAATGGGAGAGGTAGAAAGTCTGCACTCCAGCATGTCTTTTAAGGTTAAATCCTGCCCTTGAGTGGATGCTGCTCCCTTAAAGGTACATAGGAGACGTGCTGGTGTTGGAGAACAATATTGACTTGGTCTATATTCAGATGCTCTTGCTTTGGAATGGCTGGCCTCGTTTAGCCCCACAAACATTGAAACACAAATTGTTTCTAAGTTCAGGTAGCTTGGGGCCAGCCTTTTGGACCTGAAGAGTGAGGTATGCTTTAGGTTAAATATATATTTAATACCAGGGGCCTCTGTAAGCGTGGACTAGAACAGGTGAAGGTAGATGAGACAGTCTTGCTGCTAGGGAAACAAAGGACAAGCCAAAGTCTTTCCTAAATCTTATCTCCTTTGCTGAAAGAGCAGGAAATGCCCAGGCCTGATGTGCCCTGGCTGTATTTTTCTCATCAGGAAATTGGATATACTCACATGAAGATCATGGAAGGGGTGAACTCCCTCCTGCAGATGGCTGGGCTGCTTGGCAGGCTCTGTCAGAAGACGGCTGCACTGGAAGCCAGTTAAAGGATTTCCATGGACTGGAGTTACATTACCAGGTTGTGGCATGCAAGGTGTGCAGCTGCCAGCAGGCTGGCACCACATATACACTGCCAGCACAGAATGAGGGGAATTTATTCCTTTTGCTTTTGCTGAACCTGAAAGTGAGAGCCAACCTTCTTTTTAAGGTGTCTTGTCCTTTTTGTAGACTAAATAAAAATTAAAACCTCTTGGAACTGTTCCCTGTTGTATAATGGAGGTGAAGGGTAGGATTGGACAGTCCAAATGTAGAGGTCAAGCTTCTTCCTAGCTCCTGTTTGGAAGGGTGCGAGGCTGTAGTGGCCAGGTGTTAATGGCCAGTGGCTGTAAAGTGACCTTTAAAGTGGGATGGTCTCAGCCTCTTTCCTCCAGGATAGGTCTCGCGTCTCACAGCATCCGTGCCTGAATGGTCCACTGAGGCCAAGAAAGGAGAGGGTTGTGTAACGCGAGTGCTCCACTTTGGCATAGATGTGTTTTTTAAGGTGACCGAAGCCTGTTGATTAAGTGCTGGCATCAGTGCTGTCACTGTATTGTGGCTCACTAGGTAATTTCTACAGCGTAGTGAATGCGTGCATGCTGCCAGCAATATTTACCTCCGCTTTTCCATTTTGAGAGTGAAAATACAGCTTGTGCTATGGACGTGCTTGGGTGGTTAAGTGACACCGCGTTATAGATTTGATCACTGCCTTTGGTTGGTACAGACCAGGCTTATGTTTGATCAGGAGAATGGAGAAACACCTCTTCTCTTGCCTGTAGTAAGAATTCACTACAGAGCTAGGATAGCCATTTTCCCATCCTCATTCCTATTTGAAAGTAGTTAGCCAGCGCTGCTGTTGTAAGAGTTAAGCGTACAGTATATGAAATACAAAGTGAATTCCAGATGCATTCACCTATAGGTGACAGTGGAAGTGGAGCCACTCATGTAATTAAGATGACCCTTTTACCTTAAAATTCAGAACTTGTAGGGTGCCAGACTAATTGGATGCTGTTAATTATATCACCCTTCACTTGTAGGGGGAGGGGAGGGGAGGGGAGGGGAAATTGCCTTGCCTGACTTGGCCACAAACTGTATTTCCACAGTGATCAGGGAAATACAAATAGACATGTTGGATGCAGTGCTACTACCAGGGGCTCTTCAGTTAGAGAAGACTTGCATCTTGGCCACAGAGGTGGAAACAGTTCAAGGGGCAGTAGGCCAAATGAGGAGACAAACTAGCATGTTCCCTGCTGTCAGGGTGGAACAATAGTGTTGTTAAATGGTGGGAGAGAGAGCCAAGACTAAGGATGCTGTAGATGAGGCCATCAATAGCCAAAGAGTATGTGCATTTTGCCTAGACAGGAGGGCAAGGCAGAGGGAGACAGCACTACAGGCAGGTGAGTGATACTTAGAAAATGTTATTGTTCCATTATCATTAAATCTCTACCCAAGCGTACATGATTGGTTAGTATTCCTGGTTGCCATTCAGTGTATGACTAGCTGGAACAAGTCATTTATGTACAATTCACGTGGGATTAGGGGAGCATTCTGCTGGGTCCTGTAGAAGTGCAGCATCGGTCTCGATTTCAAAGTGCTGGCCATATTCACATGACAAGCTCATAACCAGAAGGTGAAGCACTTATGAAGCCTCTGTCCATCTAGGCTGGCCAGCCAGCCCCTCAGCGCTATTCCTTTGGCCCCAAGCACCCTCACTTTCTAGTAATAAGCACGGCTGTTGAAACAACCTCCCCCCAGCCTTGCAACACAGTCTGATCATGGTGGGATGCCCCACTGGCACTTCCAAGTCACTCACTCCTCCCTGCCCTTGACAAGCTCCTCATCACTCATTCTTCAGTGGAACAAAGGCCCATCCATTTCAGTGTTTCTAGGACTGCAGCTTTCTGGTCATTGCCTCAGCTTTTTCAGTTTGGTGGCTTGTGTCTCTTCATTTCCCTCTCACCTTCAGGCTGCAGTGCACCCCAGTGTTTAAGTGTTGACGCAGACCGTGCTAATGCAGCACACTTGAATTGAAGAATGGCAGTGGCTTACTGGGATGCCTTCCCATTGCAAGCGAGGCAAAAGAAGGTGGGAGGATGAACTTGCTTCCACTTACAGCACTATGTCATCGCTTCCTGACTGGAAGATAAGCTACGTACTACTGCTTATTAGCCAAGACTGCACATGGGCAAAACTCCCTGCACACCGAGATACTTTATTGCTCACCAGTGATAGAGATGCACAGAGTGGGAATGCCAACACTTAAAAATGAGTCTGTTGAGTTTCAGTAGTTCCAGTAATATGTCCTGGACTTCTTCCAAGGCAGTGAGATGATAGAGTGAAAAGTGCCCCATGTGCACTTTTAAGTTAGGCAAGAATTTACCCCTCTTTAGAGAACGACTATAGCCCACAGGATGGTGGGAAGTTGCCTTTGGTCTGTAAGGAGCAGGTGGTGCGATACAATCCATTGCTTTGGCTTTAACCAGGAAAATGCGCAACTTCTGTTCTACACCTCTGAGCTCCTGGCTTGGCAGCAGAAGCCTCTTTTTCCATATAGGCAGCAAAAAGTATCGATTTACCCACCTCCTTGCTTAGCAATGCCCAATAAATATATTGCTTCAGCTTTTCACATGCCTAAAATGTACTCAAAAGTTCATACCGGATTAATGGTAAGTTGCTGTGCGCCAGGCACCTTTTACTCCTGTAAAGTATTTCTCCATGCAAAAAACAAGGGCTTGCTCATGTATTTCCTGGCCCATTATAGCTATACCCCTACTCCAACCCAACTACAACCTTGCTCTAAGCAGCTCAGTGTCTTCCTCTAGCTCACAGGTTTTCAACCTTTTTTAATACGTGTACTCCCAGCAGCCAGGGAGGTATTCAGGGTTGAGGGGAGGGGGGAGGATGCACAGCCGAATGTGGAGTGGCAGGCAGCCGTGGCTGCCCCATGCAGTACGCAGAGAGGGACAACTGCCCTCACCCTGCCCTGGCCCCAGCTCCTGGGATGTGGTGGTGCAGGGAGGTGGTGCCCCGCCACCCGCACATACCCCCCCAGGGCCTTCCCAAGTACCCCCAAGGGGTACACCTACCACTGGCTGACAAACCCAACTCTAGCTAGTTGATCAGAATGAAACAAGCATCAAGCCAACTGTTTTCTGACAGCAAAGGCTAACATTGTTAAAAGGGACTACTGATCTCCGTACCTTGCAGAGTTATATAGCACATACAAACCTCCCCTTCTTCAGCTTGCCAGCTGGGCACCCAGGATCGCTAGTTACTATGTTTTGGATTGGGTGCCCCATGTAGGGTAGCCATTGAGGTACCTCAAGAAGAGAGGACAGTTGCATTTTAGTTCACTGTGACCGTCGCATGCCTCCTGAGGCTGGGGGCAGGTGGGGGCATGGCAAGCTCCCACAGGCAGTGATGAGCAGGGGGCTCCCATAGGCAGCCACAGTAGTGTTAGTGCAGAATGGTGAAAAATAGAGGACATAAAGGGGTCTGGTTTCATAATCAATAGAGGACCAGAAAAACACCGTCCTCTGTAAAACCGGGTGAATGGCCACCCTAACCCTATGACACTCAGCACTTGGCAAGTATAGTGCTTGCTTCTGCTTTCCTGCATACTCCTTTGAATGAAAGCTGCTTTTTCAAAAGAGGCCAGTACAAGATGTGTGTGCTGCTTGTGCATTCACTCTACAGCTTCAAGTGGTGCATTCAGCGTGGACCTAGACCAGGGGTGGGCAAAATGGCAAATCCAGCCAGCAGCTGGACTCCATTTCCCAGCAGCCCGTCCCCATTACTGCAGCCAGTTTCCATGGTGACATGAGGGGGGGTGAGGCTATGGGGCTGGAGTTTCCATGGAAACCCATCCAAGCAGGGGCACAGCTGCTCTGGGGCTGCAGCCAGGATTTTGCAGCAGTAACTGCATGGTCCAGAGCTGGGGCAGAGCCAGGGCCCGCTGCCTGCATACCCAGGGCAGGGGCAGAGGCATGCAGGCAGCAGGTCATGGCTTTGACCTGGCTCTGGACCACAAAATCCCAGCCCTAACCCCAGAGCAGCTCCCCTGCCCAGCTGCTTGCCCTGCCAGCACTGCTTGGGCAGGCCTCCATGGAAACCCTGGCCCTGCCCCTCCTGTGGTCTCCATAGAAATCAGCCATAGTGATGTAGGCAGGGGCTGCTGGGAAGTGGAGTCTGGTGCAGGCCAGACTTTGTCCGCACTGTGGGCCAGTGTGGGTACAAAGGCAAATATCGCACCTCTCAGCTCTGGTCAGTCCCATTTTTCCCTATACCTTTTCAGTTTCCTTCGTTGACACGGCCTTTTGCACAGCAACCGCAAGAGGAAGATCGTTTTGGAAAAGCGCCAGATGCTGGCACTTCAACCTAGCAAACACGAGGCCTGAGATGGGCAGTCATGTTCTGTAACCGGCACAATGCATCCGGCTAGACCAGCAGGATGGATTCGGTTCAGCCTCCTGCATTATAGCTTTTTGATGTAGGAGTGAAGGAATAAACTGCCTCTTCCATTAACAGGCCAAAGTTTCCCCAAATCCTGTCACATACCAAAAAGTCTGCTGCTGGCAGATACACAAGCAACAACTACTTGTGCTGTTTTAAAGGGGACAAATCCAGTTTTAAATCCATGCAAAAAGCCTAAAATATAACCTCCACAGAGGGATTAGATCCTGTCAACTCAGAACTCCTCCACTTCTAAGAGAAAGGTCTGTTCATCCATACCTTCAGCTCCAATATGTTTTTTACTATGTCAGTGCTACTCACTTGTACCGGAAGTAGGGGACTTGGAGGTATAGGCCATCTCTTTACTACACAGAGACAACAGGCTCACAGCGAAGCTGAAGTGCTTTGAGAACCAGTTTCCCGAAACAGTGGAGGGTGTTGAGATTCACCTCTGGTAGCTTGCTGTTCTAACGACCCTTTACTAGTTTATTACCTAAATGAGGTCCCCTCTCTCACTCTTGCAAGGATGAAAAGTCACCACCAACCCCTTAAGATGGCTGTAGTAGTATCATAGACATGCTCTACTCTCAGCATGCAAGTGGTATCACACAGCCAAACCACTACCTGCTCGCAAACTTGCAGATTTCATTACAGGAAAAGTACAGCTCCAGGTCCTGGGGCTGCGTGGAGAATATGAATGCACTAGCCAAGTACCCGTCACGAATGACAGGCAGGGGCTGCAGGTGGGGACAGAGGCCTATGTCT